ATAGATGAAAGACTTTTGACCCCTCTGAGTCCCTAATTTGAGGGGTCAGGTCTTGTAATTCTGGAGACTTTTTGTTTAACAACTATTCAGAAGTTTCGTTTCGTTTTCGAGATATGTAGACTTGAAATATTTAGGGGGCGTCCCTTTAAGTCCTTATAGGGACTGTTTAAGAAAAATTCAAAGGATGCACGTTGTTGAGAACATCATTCTAAACAACTTTTGTTCAATATTGCTTTTCAAAATATTTCCCCTTTTCGAGATATAAAGCGTCAAAGATTAAGCATTCTGGCCCCTTATGGCCCCTAATTACGTAATATTTGAAGAAAACTTCCAGATATATAGTTGCATATTGTGAAGATGAACATTTTTGCTTCAATAATTAATATAAAATATTTAACTTTAAGGAGTTATAGATGAAAGAATTTTGGCCCCTCTGAGCCCCTAATTTGAGGGGTCAGCCCCTTTTCCTTGATATCACATGAAAGGTCTTGTAATTTGGAAGACTTTTTGTTCAACAAGTATTCAGAAGTTTCGTTTCGTTTTCGAGATATGTGGACTTGAAATATTTAGGGGCCGTTCCTTCAAGTCCTTATAGGGACTGTTTAGGAAAAATTCAAAGGATGCACATTGTTGAGAACATCATTCTAAACAACTTTTGTTCAATATTGCTTTTCAAAATATTTCCCCTTTTCGAGATATAAAGCGTCAAAGATTAAGCATTTTGGCCCCTTATGGCCCCTAATTATGTAATATTTGATAAAAATTTTAAGATATATAGTTGCAAATTGTGAAGATGAACATTTTTGCTTCAATAATTAATATCAAAATATTTAACTTTAAGGAGTTATAGATGAAAGACATTTGGCCCCTCTGAGCCCCTAATTCGAGGGATCAGCTCTTTTTTCTTGATATCACATGAAAGGTCTTGTAATTTGGAAGACTTTTTGTTCAACAAGTATTCAGAAGTTTCGTTTCGTTTTCGAGATATGTGGACTTGAAATATTTAGGGGCCGTCCCCTTAAGTCCTTATAGGGACTGTTTAGGAAAAATTCAAAGGATGCACATTGTTGAGACCATCATTCTAAACAACTTTTGTTCAATATTGCTTTTCAAAATATTTCCCCTTTTCGAGATATAAAGCGTCAAAGATTAAGCATTTTGGCCCCTTGTGGCCCCTAATTATGTAATATTTGATAAAAATTTTAAGATATATAGTTGCAAATTGTGAAGATGAACATTTTTGCTTCAATAATTAATATCAAAATATTTAGCGTTAAGGAGTTATAGATGAAAGACATTTGGCCCCTCTGAGCCCCTAATTCGAGGGATCAGCTCTTTTTTCTTGATATCACATGAAAGGTCTTGTAATTTGGAAGACTTTTTGTTCAACAAGTATTCAGAAGTTTCGTTTCGTTTTCGAGATATGTGGACTTGAAATATTTAGGGGCCGTCCCCTTAAGTCCTTATAGGGACTGTTTAGGAAAAATTCAAAGGATGCACATTGTTGAGACCATCATTCTAAACAACTTTTGTTCAATATTGCTTTTCAAAATGTTTCCCCTTTTCAAGATATAAAGCGTCAAAGATTTAGCATTCTGGCCCTTTGTGGCCCCTAATTATGTGCCATACGACGTAAAAATCATAAAAAAAGTTGTAAATTGTTAAGATAAATATTTTTGCTTCAGTAATGTATACCCAAAATATTGCTTGTTTAAGAGTTATCGATTAAAGACTTTTGGCCCCTATCGGCCCCTAATGTGATAAGTCAGCGCTTTTTTCTTGATATCATGTTACAGATCTTGTCATTCTGCACAAATTTTGTTCAATATATTTTAACAAAATAATTATACTTTAAAAGATATGATACAAAATGTCTCAAAAATTCACTCATAATTCGTGTCCTAAATTTCGACCCCTACCGAGCCTCCATACTAGGCACTTCCGGAAAATATCTAAACCCGGGTGCATAATGGCAACATGTTCTCTATCATCTCTGAAAATTTCAGCGCTCTAGCTTAATCCGTTTTTGAGTTCCATCGCAGGCAAGTAGGTCCTCTGAATTTTAATAAAAGGGTGATAACTTCCGACCGGAAGTGATTTTCAAAAAAACGATACTGCCGGAATTAACTTCAGATGTCAACGCATCTACCATGAAAATTTGAATAAAATCGAACGAGCCATCTCCGAGAAATCTGCACAAATTTTGTAAAGAAAAAAAAGAATAATAACTAGAGCAAAGCTCGTTGCAAAGCAACGAGTAGGTCTTCCGTTGAAGCTGTGAACAGGAATTACCGACCTTGAGTCAAGGTCATTACACTTTCTTAAGTGAAAAGCGATCTAGAATGGAGTGTTACATTCACCAGCAGAATGACAGTAGACAAATATACAGTTTCTCTCTCAGTGACCTTAAACTTGTTCAAATGACCTTGCATCAAGACCAAAACAGTCTCCAGTTATGGTTAATCCCCATCTGTTCGTTTCCGACTAGACAAGATCATCTATTTTCTTTCAGACCATACACCACGAGAAAACATCTTATCTTCAATAGTTGTGATTAAAATAGGTTAACTTCAATTATTTAAAAATTCATCGTAAATTTGTTATGTCCAGTTTGGATATTGAAAAAATGTTGGGTTCCTTGAATTTCGGTGCTTGTCTTAAAACTTTGAGTCCAAAACTTTAAGTCCACTCAGTGAATAAAAGTAAAAGAAGCTTTTCGACGTGCTATTACACAAGCTCTATATGGCAGAACATATTATCTGCAACACAACAGAATAAAAAATATTAAAATCAGTAAGTTGAAAATTTCACATCATCTGGTCATAAATAATCTTTCAGTAAAATACGGATACAGGCCAAGACCTGTTTTGGATTTTATATGTACATACCCGGTAATGCCGGTAAGTTTTGAGCCGTTAGTTTAAATCATGTTTCTCGTGACAGCAAAATCATGATGTCGTCATAAACCCCTATTTCTATATCGTTTTTACATAGGTTCTTTTGTTTCAGATTGCGATAGTGTGCATTGAAATTCGCCTACTTTTCATTGATTCAGTGTCGTTATCATGAACTTCAATATCCCCGTGTGTATTTGAGAAAAGAGGGGGGTACTCTTAAGTTGGATATTTTTCCCTCTCACTATATGACACAACATTAATTTACAGATTTTGAATGCCCATTAAATTTTTTTTATTGTAAGAAGCTTCAGGTCAATGTGAATTAATTTCGCTGTTTTTTTTTTAATTTATTTATTTTTATTTGTTAATTACATAATTTCACTGGGGATGAAAAAGAAAACCATCATGTATCATATACGTATCAAACAGAAATAAGAAAAGTTTTGTTTCTAAAGTATTAATTTAAAATAAGTAATCATAGATGGAGAGGGAAACTCTTGATTTCTACGGGGTAATCATTAGGATCATTCTACGATGAAAAGCTTTGTTGTGCATATTTAACTATTAGTTCAAATAAAGTAAACTGTACTTTGGAATCGGATAGTTCATCTGAAAACATAATCCCATTTATATCCACAAAATGACTAAAATTAACTCAATAAAATACGGTAAAATTACACTAGATGTAATGCGTTATTTACATCAATGTGTCTTTGTGATGTCATTAAAACACAAAATCAAGGACGATAAGTAGGTAACAAATTTATCTAGTGGACAAGTTTAGGCCTTGGTCTTTCAGTAAAGGCAAATTTTTTTTTAGTTAACGTATATTGACATTCTTTTATACCAGTCTTTATGTTTAAAAAGTAAAATCCTAGTGCTATGAACCGTTTCATATGACCTTTAGAGACAAAGCAAATCGTAATTCAATTCTATGTAAAACGAAGTCATGCAGTGCAGCACATTTCTTCCAGGACAAGAATTAATTATTTACTCCATGCTATTCAAAACAGCTGCCATAGATTTTTATTGTATATACAACAAATAAATTTGATATAATAGAATTATATCAGTTTAGTGTATTTGCTTTTAATCTGTAATACTAAATACATTTCAGGGTATTTGAGCTGGAAGGCTTGTATTATTTGAACTTATTATATATTACAATAACCTGTACTTTTGATGTCAGTTATCTAAATTCAGATACCACGTTTTTAAACAGTAGGACTCATACATATCAGCAACAGCAACTCTCTGGATCATGTGGATTATACTTTAAAACTTGCAAAAATCAATGACATGTTGTTGTTTTTTTATTTCCACGAAAATACGTAAACGAGCATCAAAGAGACAATTAATGGGGAAAAAAACAAACAAACTCGTCAACAATATCAGTTGATGTCTATACAAAGGTTCTTCCTATCTCTACATACTAAATCAACATACAAACGATAAAAAACATGGAATAGAAATAAAATGATATGTTAGAAATAAATTACGACGTGTAAAGTTAATTTGACCGCAATAACGAATTTGATAAAGTACATGTACACATGCAGCAATTCAGAACATGTTTGTTTCCCTTCTAGTTTAACTACATGTACATATTAAATATGTTCAATGATATATTAAATACAAAATTTTCCTTGTAGCACTAATTAAAAATTTCAAATAAAATTATGACAATATTTTAAATTTTGAGATATTTAAAAATTCCCTATAAAAGAAGTAGGAGTAATTTTTTTTATCATTTCTAGGAGATAAAATATCAGTTCATGATATCTGTAAATTCGTTATGTCAGATGTCAGAGTTCATTCGAACTTAAAATTTTGGAAGAAATTGTTCAGAAAGCAGCAGGGATTCCCCAGAAGTTCGATCATTATACCCGTAAATTCGCAACTAAACAAGTTTTACTTCTACAGTAGTTTCGATTTATATGTACCTGTATGGGTCTCTTTCAGTGAAACTGACTTTACAATGCCATATTTGGTTATGTACATAAGATGAGGTACGATATATGAAGTGATTGTTGATATTTTCCCCCATCTTCATCGCCTAACTGTTTCTGTCAGGCTTAAAATCCGTGTTACGATATTTTTTAATTAATTGTCACTTGAAATGGTCACAATCAAGGCATCGTGATAACTGTAATAAGTTGACATCCTCCTTACGTTTGTCTTCATGGATTTAGATACATAAACATGGTCCAGTGTCGTCATCCCTTCAGTTGTGTAAAACCTTACAAGCTGCTGGAAACCTACATTGATCATGAAAGTTTGAATCGGACCAACATATCTTGCATCTTCATTGAAATCTCCCAAACAAATTATATGTTTGTTAAGAAGAGTGTAATATGCTATTATTTCTTTGAGGCTGTCCAGAAATTTACTGACACTAAAAGTACTTGGCCGATATAAAGTAACCACAACTATATCTTCCTGAACTAGCTTCACAGCAATGCCTTCAATGTTTTTCTCAGGTAAGGGACTGACTATTCTCTGTTTTTCACTTGCACTGACGTATAATGCCACTCCTCCACCTTTTGAGAGCCGCATTTTCTGCATTTCAGCTCTGCTGTCATCATAAGCATCCCCGCGGGGTACATGATGAAATCTAAAACCATTGATTTCAAAATATGTTGTACTTTGTCCTGATTTTAACCATGTTTCTGTCAAACAGATCAATTGAGCCTTCATAAATCGGTTGTCATGATAGAGATCTAAAAAATGTTTTTGCATACTCTGGATGTTGAGAAGAATAATGTTGAATGAAGTAGAGGGAATTACAAAACGATTTGGCAGTTCTAAAACAGGCATCCCACGTAATGCCGTTTTCACATCTGGGTCAGCGTACACTTTCTTCTGCAATGCATTTTCATTATCGGTTTCTATGAATAAGCCTTCTTTACTTGTAACTCTTGTTAATGCAACGTATGCTTGTCCAGGAGAGAAGGTCCGGTCTAAATTGACCACAACTTTGTCAGCTGTCATCCCTTGAACTTTATGAGCTGTACAAGCCCAAGATAACCGCAAAGGGAACTGATGTCTAACAATTGTTTTGGATTTTTTTTCAAATATTTCTTCCTGAACTCTCTGAATTAAAACAACAGTTCCTTTTTCTGTCTTCTTCCCCGATTTCCTCCCAACACTTCGATTGTCAAAAATCACTCCTACACCAACAATTTCTTTGGATGCATTTTATTCCCATACACAAAATGAGATATGCAACCCATAACTCCATTAACTAACCCATCTTCTACATTGCAGTTTCTGGTAAGCATGACTCTTGCTTTTACAGCCATCAGTAAAGAGGTACACAGACTATCCGTTTTTGGCCGAATGATTGGTTTTTCCCTCAAAACTAGTTTCCCTGTTGTTTTTTCTTTCTGAAAGTCATGAGCTTCAATTTCTACAAGATCTTCATAGTTTCTTTTAAGCATTGTCAGGTTATAGCTATTGACTTCATCATTTGTTGGATACACATGAAGAACCTCTTCTGGTCCATCTCTGATACACTCTTGTATCATACATTGTGTTTCACTGCCTAACGGCTCACCTATTTCTCTGGTTCGCAGTGAGTTCAAAACTGTTGCAAAGGGTATGTCCTTACGTTGCCTCATAACTTCTGTCAGCTCTACAACCTTGAAAAAGTCTCTCCAATAATCCACAGGATATGAAGCATTTTCCATGTACAGCCTCTCATCTTTCCGTTGTTTAACAGGTGGAAGTTGATAAAAGTCACCAACGGCAATTATGCTAACGCCACCAAATGGTTCCCTGCTCTTCATTATTTGTACAAGTCTTTCATGAATGTAATAAAGAAGCTTCTTGTACATCATTGATACTTCATCTATCACAATTATCTGTAATTCTCTCAGCTGCACTCTGATTTCACTAAGTTTCTGTTCTTTTAAAGGTTCGTAGGGCAGCGGTAGATACTTCGTAAGAGAAAACAAGTGATGGATAGTGTTTCCGCCAATATTAAATGCAGCAGTTCCAGTAAATGCTGTTAAAAGTACTGCTAAACTATCTGGTGATGACAAGTTTCTAGCAAAAAGTCGTGTTGCTTCATAATTAATTGCTTTTATAACATGACTTTTTCCTGTGCCAGCTCCTCCTGTTATAAAAATGTGTAATGGTTCTGGCTTTTCTCCAGCTATTTTCTTTAAACACCAGTCTCTAGCGTAGTAAAACACTTCTTGCTGTGTTTCATTCAAGCTCTGTAGGACAGGTAATATTTCATCCCTGGATATATCATTCTGCTGAATTTGATATAAAACATCAGAGATATTTGTTTCATTTTGCATTTCGGGAATTGATTCCAATTCATGTTCTTGTGAATCATGCAATTTTGTTTTCTCATCAGAACACTCTTGACGCAATAATTCTGTCTCTGGACAAAGACTTGCCCATGCATCTTCAGGTTCACCAATAGTTTCAAATGTTTCCTGCGCTTCAGCTCTCACATTCTCATTTTCAGCAAATCTTGCATGATTTGTGTCTACGAGTAATTTCACTGACTGGAGCACTTGTCTTCCTGTTATTTTTACGTTGCCATTTTCATAAAATGTCTCATATAAGTCAAAACCAGGAGGTTTAAGCTGTTTTCCATTCCAGTGTGGCAGAAAAAGCTGAAGCTTGGACTGGTAATATTTCTCAGGAGTTTTCTCTACGCTAAATCTCGGATATCTTACAACAGCCGGCAGGGTTCTTGTTCGTTTTTAGATATATCCCTTTGAATTCTGAAGCTCAAATACATTTTCGTTCTCATTTTTGGGAATCTGAGACTTTGCCAAGACTCGGTATTCAGAACAAAATTCTGCCAAGCACATGCTTTGAAAAAGCGGCTTGTTTGGTCGATTTTCATACCTTTCTACTATATTAGTCATCCAAGTTTCATCTTCATCATCCTCATCTTCCTCCTCATTGTCATGATGGTCTTTCTTTTGACTTCTTCTTTTAAGAATAGAAAGTGGCTTACTCAAACGGGTGGGATTTTCGCCTACAGGCACAAACACAACCTTTCTGGAACATTCTTTCATTTTCAAATTACAAACTCGATACACAGCCTCTTGTGCACTTACTTCCCTATGGTTTGGATATGCAGATCCTATTTTCTTCAAGGTGTCTCGTGCATTTAGATTTCCCTCTTCTGCCTCCACTTTCGTATGCTTAAGTAATAACCCCATTTCCCTCTCCGACTTTGAAATGTACGATATAATGTAAACAATGCAACTAAATGGATCCAATACAAATTGTATATCCATGTTAGCATCCCAGCATTTCAAGAGACATGGATTGTACTGATTAATCCAAAGCTCGCTTGGATTTCTTTCGAGGACAACAGAGGTCTTTTTTGTTTGCATGTTATGTGCTTCTTCATACTGCTCTTGAGTCAAAGATAAATGACTGAAAATTTCTTCTGTTGATCTTGACTCATTTAACTCACTTTGAACTTCCTCCCAAAGATGCAGCAAAATTTCTTTTAAAGCAGATTTACTGTTTCTGGAATTTACAGCTTCATCTTCATTAGTCGTTTCCTCATCATCATGTGGTGAGCTTATGAATGTGCGTTGAGATGGAGGTCAAGGAAAGTTAAACCTACAATCCGTTCCTTTTTTCCGACATGACTTAGAATGATTTTTGCTATGCTGTTGTACAGCCAACACAATACTTCGCAATTCAGGATCTTCGCTCTCAGATGGCAATGCACAAGAAACATATTTATCAATGAAATTGCAAACAGCTTCTTTTCCATTCTCATTAACTTTAGGCGCATTTTCAATCCAGAACAAGCAGTGCATGTGTGGGGATCCTCTCTGCTGAAATTCAACTCTTTGAAAGAAATCTACAACCTTTCCAATCGGCTCTGATGGAGAACAAATAACATCTCTATGGAATGCATGAAATCTGTGCTCAAACATTCTTGCAACAGTAACTGGATTACTTCTCAATACTTCATTTTTCTCAGACCAGTCCATCTGTTCTGGGTCTCTATCATCATTCTTTTGTCGTAAGATACTTGACACTGCATCATTCCATCTATGCTCAGCAGCAGAAAACGAGCAAAACCAGGTTGGTATTCCTAGCTGACGCAGCATAGCAAAGAGGTCCTTTTGGTCGGCTGACCAATATGCTGGTGTTCCCCGTATCGGTTGCATAAACCTCAAAGCTTCGTCATTTTTCAATAATTTTGAAAGGACTTCTGGGTCTTGTACTATATTTGATGTCACAAACTTTTCATTTCCAATTTTTGTGAAGGACTTCCGAATTAAAATTTGTGTTTTCTCTATTACCTGATTCAATTCTGACATGTACTGGCTGAAGAAAATGTAATTACTATCTTTGGCAAACCTATCATCTGCATTCATTAGTCTGTTGTTGAAGTACCTAGACAGCGTTATTCTTGTTGTTCTTTCATCATTCCAGGAAAATTTTCCACTAGGAAAATGGTAGGGGAAACATTTAGCTTCATTTCCTGTCTCCTGCAACATTCGCACTGGGTTCTTGCCTTCACCAGGTGCAATATTATAAATATCATCAAAGTAATGATCTAACACCTCCTGGGCTATATCCACAGGCTGTAAGCAGGTATCAACTGCAATATGACTTTCACCTACTGAATTTTCTGCTGCTATTTCATTCACATCTTGAATTGGTTCCTGATCATTTTCAACGTAATCATTCCAGTTTGTATCTATTTGTATGTCTTTATACCACTTATTGTTTCGCTTCAAGTAATTCAATGCTGCAAATATGTGGTTTGTGTTAACAAACTGGTATTCAACGTAACCTTTGTAACAAAGCTTTCGTTTTAACTTCACCCGCAAAAGTGAATCATCGCCTTGTTTAATAGGTAAACTTGTTGTCTTTTTCATGTCTGAGGGTACACAAACAACAGGCCCATGTACATTCCTTTGACCACCATGAGGGAGAGCCATAATTCTAATAAATGGTATGTGTAACGCTATCAAATGCTGCTCTAAGCTGTTTAAATCTTCCAATTCCTTTGGAATTTCTTCGAGCGCCATTTTATTTGCAACCGCTTCAGCTGGAATTTTTCCCCTTATGATTTTTCTATGACATGTAAAGCAGATCCACAATGTCGACATAGTGCAATCTGTTTGGCAGGTTTTTGTACACTCATGATGACACTTTTCGTTTATGCATAGATTTGCCACAGTTGATGTCTGTTCATTCTTTTCATACAATTGACGATTGCATTTCTGCACTTGATTTTCAAATAACAACCGATGACAGCAACAACATGTGAAGTCGATGCCCTTAATCGCATTTTCTTTAAATGATCTTATTATTTCTTCCTCATTTTCTAACTTGGTGTGTTTTGCTATCCTTTCTTTTTTCACTGTCTCCCTTTTCAATACTTTGGCATCAGAACTTACATGATATTTCTCCTTACTATAAGCTTTAGCATTAGACCTGAAAGTATCGTCTGTTCTGTACCTTCTTGCTTTTGAGATGAGAATTCCTTTCCTGAAGTTTTGGTCTGTTTTATATTTCCGAGCACTTGCTTGATTCACTTTCTTTTTGTGCACCTCATCAGTCATGTACTTATTCATGCTCCTCTTTTTCACCTTTTCTCTGTGTGCTTTGTCATTTTTTATATTTGTCTATACCTCTCCCCTTGACTTTTTCTCTATGTAAAATGTCAGTCCTGTATTTTGTGACACTTTTCATCTTCAAATTCTCCTTATGTAAGGCGTCAGTTTTGTACTTTTGACTGCTTCTCAATTTTACATTCTTTCTATGTTCCTCATTTGAAGCATACTTCTCAATGCTTGCTTTCCGTTTTCTTTTCCTGCTTGCTTCATTCTCTGAATAACTCATTAGTGTTGTCACTCGTTTCTTGTTTTTATATTTTGTATCTTCTCGGTACTTCCTTCTTAAGGACTGCTTTCTCCTTTCAACAGCACTTTGCTTTTCAATCACCTCTGAAGAAATCTGTCTCTTTTTTTACATTCGTATTCGATTTTTTTCCTCATCATACGATTAACCTCGTAAGTCCCCCTCTTTGGTGTTCCAGGAGTCAGCAATGATTTCTCAACACAAACATCAAGAACTACATTATAATGATTCTCCTGGTAGTGATATAAGTATATTGCACCTATTCTTCCTTCAACTCGAGAGGGGCAGTCTCTTGCTACACTGAACTTCAGCCACTGATTTTTAGAATAGGTGTAAATGTCTACATTAAGCATATGAGACACAGCCAAAATTTCTAATTCAGTTGCCCATTTTCCATCTTGTGACATTGAAGACAGTGAAAGATGACATTTAACAGATCTCACACCAGTCCTTAAAAACGGTTGAAATACTGCTTCATTTTCTAGCAAATGTTGACAAACTGCACTGCGTATATAATAATGGTATTCTTCGGAATTTGACAAGCTAAAAGATATTGCTCTGAAAAAGCAATTTTTATCTCCCAGTATTTTTTGTTGAGAAGTAGGTTTCTGAAGTTCCTTTCCAGAACACTGACTTGCAACTTCATTTTCAGAGACAGTTCTTAAAGGAATATTCAAATCATGGCATATTTCCATTTTCACTTTTGAGGAAAGGGGGACAAAAAAGAATTGCTCACGCTCACCAGAAACAAAAACCAAATCATCATTTTCGGTTTTAGAGTCAACCGTAATCTCTTCTGGCATGCACACATTTTCAACTGATCTGGTTACATTATCATCATTATCCTGTTGTTTCAAATCAACACCCGTATCTAAACTCTCTTTTATTTTGCAAAGCACACCAGTCAAATTACATTCCACATCTCTAGAATATCCCATTGAAATAGCTAGAGCCAGAAGATGATGGTATATCTGCTCTACATTTTTGAAAACAACTCTTGTACTTTTTCCACTGACACTTAGCAAGCCTTCACTTGTTCTGGAATGGGAATCAAATGTGAAAAAACCATTTTCCATTTTGCCAATCAGTAGTGTGTTTCCTCCAAAGCAAACAAAACATCCATCTGTTTCAAAGAGAGCTACCTGTAAAGCTTCTTCTAGGGTACATGCATTGAAATCAGCAAAGTTGAATCCTTCATCTGCTAAAATGACACTAGTTAGTGAATCATATGCTCTAAATTCAAATGATGGCCAAAGCACTCATACAGCTGTGGTAGTTCTTCTACAAGCAAGTACCTATTAGTAATTGATGAACTCCTTTGCAGATAAGTATACAATTCATCAACAGTGACTAAAATTTTATTCATATCCATTGTTTCCCAGTACTTACTATTTTTCACCATGTGATAAGATAAACCAGCTAAACAATTTGCAACACACTGAGAACCAGCATTCTCTTGGAATATTGGATCACCCTGATGAAATGAACCCTGGAAAGATCTCATCAAACTACTTTCATCATACACTTTTTTCAACTCACTTTTTAGATCTTCACTTGCATCAAAATGTACATTCATTCCACTTACTTCATCTCTGTTCTCTTCTTTCCTTTTGTGCATGTTCTTTACATTTCTCTTAACTTCTTCCTCCCACTTACTTCTTAATTTCTTACTTTGTTTCTCACCTATGTTCTCTTGTTTCACATTCTTCTTACTTTCACAAAATTCATTAAATACCTCTTTTTCATGTCTCTCATATGTTTTTTCATTCACTTGCTTCTTGTGTATTCTTTTGATTTCACTTTCTTGAATCTTAAACTCACTTGTTCTCTCTACTTTCTCATTCTCTTCCTTTTCATATACATTCTCTATGTTCTCATTCTTTTTCTCTAAAATTTTTGTTCTCAAGCTTTCCAGTCACATGATTCTTATTGTTTACGTTCAAATATCTGTTTGAGTTTCGTTCAGAATTCTGTTTGATATTGTTCAAAGATCCCTCATCTTTTTTTAGTCTCCTGCTGGTCTCCTCCTCCCTGGAGGTATCCAGCTGCGCCTGACCTGCTGGGCTAGGCTTAAAGCCATCATCATGCCCAGGTACCCTCGCTGGAGTACAAACCCACGCTGGGGAGTCAGGGGACGGTGCCATGCCTCCGTTTTGGGCATCCAGACGACTTCCCCGAGGAGATGGCAACCTCGGGGCATGAGAGTGCATTTTCACTCGAGATGAGGCCTGCACTCTGGCCAAGGGTTTTTCCTCAACAGGTGGGAAACCCTATAGAGCCATACCCCCGAAGATTACGGGGAGGAGTTGAAACAGCTCCGTCCAATGTCCCACAGGGAACAGAAGAATCTGCCAGAATCTCATCTACTGGAACTACATCAGAGGACTGAGACTGCTGCTGTCTCTTCAGCCTCTTTCGTGCCTTGTCTTTCTCTCTTCGTTTTCTGCTATTAACTTTCTTTCTTTTAGCCATCTATAAATCACAAAAAAATGCTTCATTAATTTTTTTATTAGGATAGGCCAATATGCCACAATGCTTTAACAAGAGGCCCATAGGCCACAAAGCTCACCTGAGTAACTTTGGCCCTGCTGCTCTTCACCAGATTTCCCCCCTTGTAATACTTACTGTGGCCCCACCCAACCCCTGGAACAGTTTAGAATCTTTAAGCTTCAACATAATTTTCAGCTTTTCTGGCCCAGTGGTTCTTTAAAAAGATTGATTCCAACCATCCCCACAGGGTCATGATTTGAACAAACTTGAATCTACACTACCTGAATGTTTCCATATAATCATGGCTTTGATGTTCTTGATAAGATTTTCTTAAAAAAAATTCCTATATATTCATATGTTAAACTTTGTTCCTCCATTGTGGCCCTACCCTACCCCCAGGTGTCATGATTTGAACAAACTTGAATCTACACTACCTGAGGATGCTTCCAAATAGAAAATGTCCAATCATGGCTTTGCTGTTCTTGAGATTTTTTCCTATATACTCTTATGTAAAACTTTGATCGTCCATTGTGGCCCAAGCCTATCCTTGGGTCATGATTTGAACAAACCTGAATCTACACAACCTGAGGATGCTTCCATATAAATATGACCATTCATGGCTTTGCTGTTCTCGAGAAGAAGATTTTTCATATATATTCCTTATGTAAAACTTTGATCGTCCATTGTGGCCCCACTCTATCCCCCGGGGTCATGATCTGAACAAACTTGAATCTACATTACCAGAGGACATTTCCACGTAAGTTTTTTCTTTCCTGGCCCAGTGATTCTTAAGAAGAATATTTTTAAAAGATGCCATTAATTTTTCACCAATTTGCAATTATATCCTCTTGAAAGAGGGTGTGGCCCTTCATTTGAACAAACTTGAATTCCCTTTATCCAAGCATGCTTTGGTCCAAGTTTGGTTGAAATTGGCGCAGTGGTTCTGGAGTAGAAGATGAAATTGTGAAAGGTAAACAATGACAACGATGACAGACAACAGACAAATTTTGATCAGAAAAGCTCACTAGAGTATTCGGCTCAGGTGAGCTTAAAAGTTACAGATACATCATTTCCCATAATTCAAATAATGGACCTAACCTGTAAGTTTATTATGTATGAAATAAATATATTTGCAGCATGCATAATCATTTATTAATGACTTGAGATGAATAAAGTAAACCACAAGTGCATGATTCATTCTATCAGGAAAACTTATTACACAATGCTAAGATACTTTGACCAGCAAGGTTTTTGATCATTTTTGTCATACACTTAGTATGAAGTTAAACAGTTGGTATTTTCTAAAAAAATAATCTGAAATCAAAATCCAACCAGTATGCATATCTCTGATATGAGAACAACTGATCTACAAAATAAAAAGTTTCAATTTTGAAAACTGTAGGAAGAGATATCCCGACAAAGACAGAGACTCATGGCCCACATTTCTCAACTCAATCACAATAGCTCTTCTTTTCTCCATCAGCAGATCCCCCCCCCCCCTATTATCCTAGAATGTAAAATTTTTTATCACATAGTGTGGCCCCACAATAATACCCCCAGCAGTCATGAATTGAACAAATTCTTTTTAGGCTTCCTGAATATGCTTTGATATAAATATGACTTATACATATATGTTTGTTCTTTTAGTAGACAAAAAAAACTCATATTTACTTTGATAGCCCACTGTGGCCCCCATAATGATTTGAACAAACTTGAACATACAATACCTGAGCATGCTGAATATTATTCTTATGCAAACTTTGATCGAGTATTGTGGCCCCACTCTACCCAGGGGCATCAAGGTTGATGATGTTCAAGATTGAAGAAACTTGAATCAGTCATAGGTTTGTTGTTTTTTTTAGACTTTAAAAAAATCCTACATACTTTGATAGCCCATTGCGGCCCCCATCATCATGATCATGATTTGAAAAAACTTGTACAATACCTAAAGATGCTGAATATTCTTTTCCCTTTACATTCTTATGCAGAACTTTGGTTACATATTGTGGCCCCCCTCTCAGTACTTGGGGGCATCAAGATTTTAACAAACTTGAATCTACACTAACTGAGGATGCTACCACTTAAATTTATTTTTTTGTCCCAGTGGTTCTTGAAAAGACTTTTAAAAAAGCCTTTAAATTAATTACCAATTCTTATTTATCCCCCCTTGACAGAAGGCCTGGCCCTGTTATTAAATAAACTTGAATTCCCTTCACACAGGGAT